CCAATGCCCCCTCAGAGCCTGCCTGAGCCGCAGCAGCAGGGGCTGGCAGAGGAGGGGCTGGCAGAGGAGGGGCTGGCAGCACACGCAGCAGCGGTGCCAGCCCTGCAGGAGGATGTCCCTGCCCTGGAGGTGCCACAGCACAGTGTCCCCTGCAGCCAGGCCCCGTGCCCGGGCACCCTGAGCCGTGCCACCCCGCTGTCCCCGTGCCACCGCGGTGTCCCTGGGCTGGGAGAGGGGTGCCAGGGAGGTGGGAGGGGAGTGGGGAGCACTCCCTGGCGAGGTGCAGGCACACGTGAGGCTGCCTCCAGCCATAGAACCCAATGTGCTGTTTTAATAAGCGCTAATTAGCATATTTATAACATTCTGTTCCAGGGAACAGTTTCTGTCACACATTCCCTTACATAAGCCACGATGCCGACTGAAGAGTTTGCTAATGTTTCTCAAATTAAAAGAAAAGAGGGGGGGAAACCACAACTACAGCGTTTCCAGATGCCAGACGTAGACTTGAAAAGGGACTAGGGGGTGGGAGAGAGAAGAGGGGGCAAAAGCCACGTGGAAATGGGGACACCTTCACGTTGCTGAGTGACAGCAGCACGGGCACAAGGCTCGGGGTGGTCCTGCTCCCCCAGCCTGCCAACCCCCAGCACAGGGGCAAACCAGAGAGCAGCCACAGCCTCCTCCCCTGGCACAGGAACTGCTCTGGGTGTGGGCACCAGCAGGAACTCCCCATTCTCCTCCTGTCACAGATGCTTCAGCAGATCTCACTCTCCTCCTCCCGAGAGGGAGCAAACGCCCATCCAGAGGGGCTGGGACCTCCCTGAGCAAGGAGGTCGGTGGCAAAAGGCTGGGGGGGGAATAGGTGCCAGTGTGAGGGGCAGCATCACCCTGGTGCTCAGCAGGCGATGAGGGCATCACTCCCTGGCATCCACTCCTTACCTACTGCCTGCCCCAGTGACGTGCCTGAGGACAGAGCAACACTCCCTGCAGTTGAGGCAATTCCCTCCTGCAGTGGTGTCAGGCCATCCACCCCACCAGCACAGCCCACGCTGGTGCCCACTCTCCTGCCCACCTTCCAGCCTGCTCCAGGCTGAGAAGCCCGAGCAGCCACTCGAGCACTGGAATTTCTAATGGAAACCATGACAAAGTTGGCAAGAGCCCAAGAAAAATGAAGGCTCAGAGTCACATAATTACTAGAAGAATGAAATCCTGTTACAACTCAACCAGCCTGGAAAGTTAATTAAAATGTTCACATATATTAGTAATTATTAGGAGGGGAAAAAAAAAAAAAAAGAGCCAAATAAAAAGGAGCCTTAAAGAGACAGCAGAGCCCCTGCTGCCCAGAAGAGGCCCCTGGAGCTGCGTGCTGGTCTGATCAGACATCTCGGGGCTCAGCACTGACAGAGCAGTCGCAGAGCCCAGAGGGAGCCAACAACCTGGGCTGTGGGACCCCAGTGCCCCGGGCAGGAGCCCACCTTCCCAAAGCTGCCCTTCCCCAGCACCATCAGGAAGTTGAAATCTGAAAGCTTCATCCGATCCCTGCTGCCGTTGTTGTCGAATTTGGAGATGGCGTTTGTCGTCTTCTCGTCTGCAGCCTTGGAGCCCGTCCCAATCTTGGCTCTCTGCAAAGATTGAGATGGGATGGGAGAGAAGAGAAGAGGTTACTGAAAACAGTGGAGAGAAAGGTCTTCACAAAGCCAGCGAGTGCTCCCGAGATCCCACGTGAATCAGGTCAGACCCCACCCTGAGCTGCAGGAACCTCTCCCCTAAGCATGGCATGGGCAGCACCAGGAAGGGCACTGGGGAAGTTACCAGCCCAAACACACTGCACTGTTCACTGGGTTCCCAGTTAGGCTCTGTGAGAGCAACTGGGAACCACCTCTGCCCATTACCCCGCTGCCCCTTTCCCCAGAGCCAGGGCACCCGGGGAGCTGCCCCACAACCTGCTCTAGGGCATCCCGAGGGCAGAACTGGGGCTTAAACAAGCTCTGTGTTCTCAGCGCTGGCTTCTGTCTCTCACCTCACCAGAAAAGAGCAGGTGAATATAAAAACATAAAGGTAAAACAGAGGAGTTTTTACCCCGCTCCACCTCCTTTACTCTCTGATCCTGAAGAGCATTGCCCTCCCGTGCCAGCTCAGGCTGAACGTAGGAAGCCACAGATGCATTTTGAACAAACCAGAATAGAAAGCACTCCTCCTGCATCCCCAAGCAACCGTGCGAGCTGCTGCACTCACAATGGCTTATTAAGGAGCCTCACAAACCCCCACATTTTTAAACACAAACTCTCCTCGGTGGCTCGGCACCTCCTCATTGGTGCAGGGGCTATCTCATCTTAACCACAGTTTGTAAAAGCTATCTCACAATTTATTCCGCTTTAATTTTTAGAAATATGCGACAGTGTAAGGCTTGCACTGAGCTCAGTCTAGCATGAAATTCCATTAACCCGATTCCAGCAGTTCAATTTGGCTGCTGATCGCAGCTCCTCCAGATAGGAGCCTCACAAGTAATCTCCAAGCCTTTGCTGCTGCTAATTGGTTCTTGCAAGGTTCTCTGGGCTCTAAAATTCCCCATTCAAGGTCACCTGCAGCACCTACGAACATCTGAAAAACTCCTGCACTGAAAACTAAAGGAAGGGGGTCTCCAGGATGTGCAAACCTCACACTTGCTAAGGCAGCTCTGCCCCAGGGAGGGGCTGAAACCCTCCAGCAGCCCCCAGCCCCTGCTGCCAGCACACGTGGCACACACCAGCCTGCCACGGGCACACGTGCTGGCACTGGAGAGGAAAAATCCATGAGGGGTTTTCCTCGGTGTGATCCTGGGGCTCCTGCAGCTTTCCCAAGAGAAGGGGACACCCAGGCAGAGCACTCCACTGCAAACGAGCTGAGTCCTTGCTGGTGGGATGCTCATCCCACCACGAGGAGCTTCACCAGACACATCCCAGAACACCAAGGGTGAAGCAATGACTGCACCAGGTGGTTCAGTGTGCAAACTCCAAAATCTTATCCAAAAAAATACAGTATCATCTCTGGTGAGAAGAATGCCCAGCCTCAGGCACGCAGCACTTGACCCTTTCCCATTTGTGAGGCCAAAGCCTTCAGCTCTGGCACCAGCTGAAAGCTTCTCATTGAACCTGGCCAAAGAGGGATCCAAATGTGGGCAGCCAACCACGAGCAGCCTCCACGAAGCCAGCCCTGCACTGTGTACCTTTGCCCCCACCACTCCTCACCCCCTGTATTACAAAGGTATCTCCAAAAGAAACGTGTACTTATCAGCAGGCAGAACAGTCATATTCTGCAAAAGCTTCCCAAGGACTCTACCACAGCTGAAAAACAATCTTGTCAGATCAGATTTGACACTACATTAACCTCTGTGCAGACAAGCTGTGCTAAATCCCAGGGCAGCATTACATCTCCATTAAACGTCACCCCAGAGCACCCCCCTGGGTCTGAGGAGCCCACGTCCCCCTCCCACAGGGCTGCACCCCAGGGCACAGCACTCTCAAACCCTGACCAAAGCCAGGGGAGGCTTCCAGCCTTGAGCAGAGTGGAAAAGAGCAACATGAAGAGGTGGGAAGGATGAGGATTTTCATCTCCTTCAGCCCAGCCAGCTCCAGGCATGGCATTACCTGCAGTGCCAGGGGGCACCTGGGCGAGCACCCAGCACCCAAGTGTGACAATAAGCTCAGCTCCTTCCTGCTGCTGTGCTGTTCTTGCTCCCAGAATAAGAGTTAGGGAGATACAGAGATGATCATCACACCCAAGTGAAGCATCTTGCTTTTGCTACTGAGTGTCTCTAAGTACTCTCTGAGTAAAAAAGTCCTTTAACCCATTTTTAATACATTACTAACACTCACACAGTCTTGAGACCTCTTTGAGGCTTACAGCTGAACCGTGCCAAATATTGCTCACAGGTTTGTTTTTTTTTTAAAAAAAAAAGCACTTGACCTTCGTTATCCAGCTCCATTTGTCATAGTTAATTTACTACATCTGAATTTATGCAACAGCAGCTGACGTTCACATCTCTCAAGCTGTCCCAGGAAGCGGCTGATAAAGACCGAGCAGAGCTGGCAGGGGATGCAGCACAAGGCTTCACGCTGGGCTTTTGTCTCAGGGGGTTTCTTGCCAAGCCCAGGACGTGCCTGGTGCTGCAGCAGGACCTCAGCCAGGAATGGCACCTTCTCAGGGCCAGGAAGAGGCACTGCTCAGGCTGGCAGCTCCACGGGCACCCAGGTGCCCCCCGCAGCACCCCGGCTGAGCCTGCAGCCCTCCCAGCTGGGTGCCAGACATCCTGCTGCTCTGTGCTGCCCAGGGGCAGGCAGGGGCACGCAGCACTAACACAGATGGAGTGCAGGCTGCTTTCCAGTCCTGTCTGATGCCCCGTGACAGCCCCCAGCCCCACAGCCCTCCTCGGGATGCTGCCTGCCTGGAGGCTCCTGCCCCTCTGAGCCTGGCTTGCTCACAAAGCAGGGTGCAGGAGGGGAAGGGGCTGCGAGGTGAGGGTACAGGTGTACTCTGCAGAGCAAAAGGACACCTCTGGACCATGTATTTTCTGATCCAGTGACAGCTCACCATCTGACTTCCAACACACAGACCGTGTTAACCCCACTGGAACATCCCAAAATGCAACAAGAGCAGCTGGTCAGCTTTTTATATTGCTGATGGCCATTGGTTGTATGCCAGCTCTTGTCTTAGAACTCTCTTTTCTTAGATATTCAGGGAAGTTATATATAAATGAGATCATAGAATCACAGAATGGTTTGGGTTGGAAGGGGCCTTAAACATCACCTAGTTCCAAACCCCAGTGAGGTCAAAAAAAGAGAGGAAACAAAGGAACCAACTCTTCAGTCCTGTGCTACAATTATGGAGTTCACACTGATGACCATAAGGGCAACTCCTCCATTCCACACATGGCTCATTTCATGGGAGTCTCCAGATGGGTCACATTCATTCCTAGGCTCTGGGAAAGCTTCGGCTACACCAAAAAACAGTCAAGACTTAATTCAGTAATGTCCAGATCAATCATCCAGCAAGATCTTCCATGGCTTATTGAGTAGCAAATAGACACTTCTCCTTGAAGCCTCTTTGGGGAGTTGGACCCGAGCATCACCGAAACCTTCCAGAGGCTGGCAGGGAAATCTGCCCAGATGCAGCTCCTGCCTGTGCAGATCCTTGGTGCCACCAGCCCTGATGCTTTTGGGTGCTGGCAGCAGCTTTGCTGGGCCAGCTCCCCGGGGAAGCCCAGGTGTGACAAGACTCTGCAGCCACTTTTCTGCTCCCTGAAATCCCCCAGCCACACTCACTCAGAAAAGCCCATCGCTTTTGTGTCCTTTGCTTTTCACAGGTATCACCAGCACCTTCCCCAGGTGCCTGCTCTCTGCTTCCACCCACAGGGGCCAGAGCTGGCAGCAGCACCAAGCCCTGGCCTCCCACCCTCTCTGCATGCCTCGGGCATTGACCCAGACAGCACCGAGCCACCCTCCAAAATCAGGACCATGAAACGACTCCCAGTCTGTCAGATTAAAGGGCTGAGTCCACACGGAGACTGCAGCTGCCGGCCGCACTCCCTGCTGCTCCACTGGCTGTCCCCAGCGAGGGGCCAGGCACTGTCACTCATCTACCTTCACTGTCACTGGGCTGGACCAATTAGCCCCCAGTCCAATTAGCACAGATGTCACTCTTGGCCCATCAGATCACCCTGGCTCAGGGCTGAGAGAGCAGCACACGCAGGATGCAGGAGTGGTACCAAGGTTATCGACAGTTACATCACTGCCTCACTGGCACTGCCTGGGCTGCCAGGCCCAGAGCTCCAGCAGCATTTCTGTTGGCAACGCTGGGTGCAGATGCCATCCGGGATCCCCCACACCCTGTGCCAGCTCACCCAGCCACCACCCTCTTGAAAACCCAGCCCACTCTCAGCCCACCAGGCAGGCGACAGAGGCTGCCACAACATTCGGGGGCTAAGGAGTTTCTTTCTGAGATTAGCTCCAAATCCAATTACATTCATACCTTAATTTATCTTAATTATATTAATTCATAACCAGCAGCATGACACTAAAAACAGATGAACAAATCCTATTAAAATGGCACCTCAGAATGAGGGTAGAACTGATGTACCAACAGTGTGTGCACGTGCTGAGAGCAGAGCAGGGTTACATCAGGTCACCTGGGGACAGCCCGGATCTTCATCTCCCTTTGATTGGAATACAGCATTGGGAACATATTAAATGAAGTATCTCCTTATTTAGCTACGCTCCACTCATTTTGGCAAACACAAATTGTAACCCTGACAGAAAGGCAGCCACTGTCTGAAAATGCAAATGAAAGGGGGATGTTTGCTATGCTGCTTCCTTTGCAGTAAGGAGAAAGGACTTCTTAGAAATGATGGGATCTCAGGCTCCTCCATGCCCCACAGGCAGCAGAGACACGGGATCCAGCACAACCTTAGGGGAGCACAAGGTGCCAAGCAAGTGTTACACAAAACTCTGCACTGTGCAGTATTCTCTGGGGTATTTTCAACCTCACGTTAAGTGCCAAAGAATCATTTCCATCTCTCTCACCCAGCAGGAACGACTGCTCCCTTTCCCAGCTGATCTGCTCCTGCTGCACACACAGACACACGTGTGCAGGGAGGTACTTCCAGATCAGCAGGGGGAATTCCAGAAGGGTGAGATGGCTCATGCCATGTGCTACGATGAAATCCACCCTGTCAACCCATCAGAAAACTGCATGCCCTACATTTCCAGCTCCTGGTGTGTCTGAATCCTTTTGCCTCAGCCTGCTCTTCTGCAGACCTCTACCAAATGATGCCCTTTGGCACATCTGTCCAGCTCCCCTTTGTCCCTTGGGCCACTGCTGCTCCCAGCCCCTTGTGTGCTTCATGCTGCAGCAGCCCAAGGAGTGACCAGAGGACTGCCCGAAGCACCCACGGGCTGCCCAGTCTCCCCTGCCCTGGAAGCACCAGCCTGGCACCACGACCTGACCCAGCAAGGCAGGAACCTCTTGGGGAAGTGTCACAAACATTCCACCCCCACATGGTCCTTGTGAATTATTTAACACAGCCAAACCACCGCTGGAAAGCTTCACTTCTTCAGAGGCACTGACCTGAGCAACTTACCTTCTGGAAGCACCACTGGCAGCTCATGCCCTGGAGCCAGGTGTGCCCCACAAAGCCCCCAAAGGACCAGCCAAGGGCTCAGGTCCCTGGGAGTGGGTGCTAAGCAGGGGGGAGGAGTGATGGGCTGTACCCTGGTCCATGCTCCCCGTGCTGCTGGGCAGGGGCTGGCAGGGAAAGCCCCTTCCCGAGGGCACGGCAGGCAGTGAGAAACACCCCTGAGTCTCCAAAAGAAATCAATTCACCTCAAATTTCTGCCTCAGCTCCTCATTTCCTTCTTCTCCCTCAGGAGGCACTGGCACGTTGAAATACTCCCCCTCCTCCTGGCTCAGCAGCTTAAACCTGGAAGGACACAGTGAGAGCCTCAGGTCAGGATGGCTGGTGGGGCCGTGGGCAGGCAGGAGTGCAGCTCCCACTCCAGGCACAGCTCTGCTCTGCTGTGCCAGGGTCCAGGTGACCCTTCCCCAAGGTGAGAAGATCCCCCAAACCTCACAACCCCAAATCAACTCAGCAAGCTCCCAGACACACACCTGAGTGGAGGGTCATTTCTGGGGTCCCTTGCTGTCCTGGGGACCCCAGTCACTACAACCCAGGGAGCACAGCCACGGCCTGCTGGGGCAGACACCACAAAGCACCCAGGTCTCTTCCAAAACATAAGCCTGACCCAAAAACCTAGAGGAAAAGCACATCTTTCTCATGATGGCCACGGGCAAATATGTGGGCAAGTTCCTGCCCCAGCAGCCCAAGGTGCCAAGGCAGGCTGGGCTCCATGGGGCCAGCACATGGAACCTGCTGGGGCTGGTCTGGTGCCAACCACTGTGAGCACAAAGCCAAGATGCTCATCCAAAAAAATAGGAAAAAAGTTTAAGCAGCAATAATCAGAAATTGGGGAAACCTCATCCAGAGGTGAGCCCGGGCAGAGCCCAGCTCCACTGGTGAACCCTCCACAGGCACAGGGCTGTGATCAGCTGGCTGCAGGGGCTGCACTGGAGGAACAAAGCACAGTCTGCACAGCACAGGCTCGTCCTCTGGGCTTGTTTTCTCCATTAGCTGCAGTTGTTTAGCTATGAAATATGCATCAGAGCTCCTTCTCCAGTTTATTCCAGCCAGATGCTGTGACAAGGGAAATGACTGAGATACCCACTTACATGACTTCTGAAAGGCTGGGGAAATGATCAGGCTCTGGGCTGTGCCAAGGACCAGCAGTGCACCAGCCCCATGACACACACACATGTCCTTACAGGTGACTGAAAATCTGGGGGGGAAGTGAAAATTTTCTCCTTGTTTTCCAAAACAGAAGTCACATCTCAATCAGGGCTTGTTCTCTGGCAAGCGAGGCTGCAGGCTGAGCCCTGCCATGTGCTAGAATCACTGAAGTATTTTCATTGGAAGAGACCCTTAAGCTCATCAAGTCCAAGCATTAACCCAGCCCTGCCAGGTCCCCACTGCCCCGTGTCCCTCACCCCACATCTCCACGGCTTGGAAACCCCTCCAGGGGTGGGGACTCCACCACTGCCCTGGGCAGCCTGGCACAGCCCTGGGCAACTCTTTTGGAGAAGACATTTTTCCTCATGTCCAACCTCAACCTCCCGTGGGGCAAATTGAGGCTGTTCCCTCTTGTCCTGTCCCTTGTTCCTTGGGAGCAGAGCCCGACCCCCCCTG